CGGAGTCTGGAATTGTGCCCGGTATATGGCAATAGGCTCACCCCCTATTACATGGGACTCATAACATAAATAGTGAAAAGTGGGTGTTACATTGTACAGTGGCATAATGTGCACCTCTGCCTACCCCTTCGGGGATAAAAGGCGTGATGTTATGATGTTATGTTGATTGTATAACAGATAATATGATAATAATGGAACGTATCACCAGAAGTTAAATTACTCAGACTTTACTTAAGTGAGTTAAATTTTAATCATTGGTAGTGTACCTACCTAGTACTTAGCATAAAAGGGAAGTAAGTTCTACAATAATTATGTATGTATGTTCCTACTTATACGTACCTATTTTTTTTAATTTTCCTACAGGATGCAGCTGAGCGCGCTGACCGTCGTGCTAACGAGATATGCCCGTATGAGATCGTGCCCAGCTCGCAGATCGCGAATGCCATCGGTGATGATAAAGTGGAGAAGCCGAGACTGCCTGGATACCTCGGCACTTATGGTGTAGACTGCAAAGAGGTAACACTGATATTTTTTTGTCAAACCTATCGATAACTTATAGTGGTTGGATTGGACGTCCACTGCTGGTTTGCTTTGCCCGTCATAAGACTTCTAACAAGTTTTCATCGATTTTAATCAGTTTTTGCGCTGAGGTTTTCCACTCCTACAAACAGTTTCATTTAAGGATTGTCGTTATGCCTCTCAATAAAATTTTATACTGTCGATGTCGATACGTGGCACCGCGTTACCTGGGCAATAATGCTACTGCCTGAGAAACCTCCAGGAATCTTAAGAGATATCACGTAGGTATGTAGTTACTTGGGAGCGTTCATGTTATAAAGTTATTATGCTTAAATCATTAAGTCCCACATCGCTCCTAACCGATAGAATTAAGTATAATTTAGTAATATTAATTTGATATAATATAATATTACGGACCTACCTAACCACCCGTTATTTGATAAACAACCTTCGTCTGATATATCACGTAATATCACTCTTATACGGCTTCTACTCGATTATGCAATGATCAGGAAAACGATCAAATAATATGATAATTACTACGATAGGGCTCACGATGAGGTCTACCGCTCACGTGTCCGCCATTTTATTTTATCGATCCTTTAGTTACCAAATTGTTTGGTCCATTGGCAACTTTAGTATTATAATTTCAGCCTATTAAGGCAATGCTGAATCGAAATATTATTTTACATTATAAAAAACAAGGTTGATAACCCACAACCGGTATCAAATTGTAGTCCGTTAGGTCACCTCGCTAGGTCCACTTTCGTACAAGTTACTGATTTATGATGATTGTACCAGGTACCGGAATATATGAAGCTTGCTCCGGATGCTTATGAGCAAGTGAAGAAGTTGCGTAGAGATGTTCCTGTAATATCTCCGGCGGCGACGCGGTTGGCGGACTACCCGCGTCTGCCACCAGAGGCTGTCGACACCTGTGTCAACCCACCACCCGAAGATACGGGGCCCTGCGCCCCACGCAAGGAAGAAGACGTGGCCTTTGCCTGTGGACACGTAGAAGGCAAAAAGCCTTGCTGCGACCCCCTAGAAAGAAAGACTGACCCTACTCAAGTTATGCCCAAAATGTAACCCAACTTGCAACATGCATTAGACATTGATGTTCACGTCGCTTTTGTAAACACATTTAGAATTACTAACTTGCACTTTTCTATTGTGAATCTCTTAGATTTATTTATTTGAAAAAGGAAATTAAGGTACCTACTAAAACATCTGCACTTATTACTTTCAATTAGACTGTTTAACGACAATACCCATTGCCGTTTGCAGCCGTATCATGACCATATTTTTGTAACATTGTACACTGTTACTGAGCTCTTAAAATGCGGATAGGTATCTACATTTAATTGTTATTCCAAACATCATGTAATTTTGAATAAAATTCAATTTAATATTATATAATTTGAGTTTTTTTTAATATCAATTCCATTAAGCGTTTATTTTTTTTTTAGGTCGTAAAAAGTGTAATTTATAATTTAAAATGCATTTGTACCAATTGAAGAATGAGAATTAATAAAACAAGCGTGTGGAAAATAGAAAATTTAATAGAATATCACTTAACTATTAACATTATTACAATATTACACAAACAGGTAAGCTGGATATATCTCGAATTAAATACAAGTGTACGCTCACAAACACGTGCATAATAGAAATGAAAGAAAGGAATGTTACATTAAATAAATAACAAAAATATTTATATACAACGATATTTATATTCTACTTTAAATTTTTAAAAGGTATGAGATGGTGTATGAAGTTGCAGATAAACCAAGTTTATTAGAGACGGATTAGTTTAGATAAATATTACTTAAAAAAAATAACTGTAGATAACACAACCAGTTTAAGAACCAAAAAACCATTACTTGTTTTATCAAGAATACTATTCAATTTTTTTAATGTCGGTCTAGTGGACTACTGACGCAATATTATTTTAAGTAACGGGTACCAAAATTCGGGTTAATATTATTAAAGCTATAAATTGTGGTGTTTTGATCGTCGCAAAAACTCGTATTTTGAAGCCCCATTCGAGCAATCGCAAGGTTTTGCAAACCTTTATGTAACCGTTTGTTGTACCGACCTGACCTAATCAGACAGCCTATACTGCTCTTACTGTTTCAAGAAACTATTTAATTATAATTTGATATTATTCAGTTAACGGCAAAAATATTCATTTTCAATTACACATGGCAATTTCATTATGAGTTTCATTGAAGCGTTCGGTTACTTTCTCCGGTTATTTTGTAAGTGTATTGAAATACAGATATCGCAATCTTTACTTAGACATTATTATTGCTTGAAAGATCGTTCATAGTTACAGTTTACTTGAAACTAAGTCTAGCAGTACTCGCCTTGCATATTGGCTCACAGATTACGAGAGCAAAATCGGCATAAAATGACCTTGTAAGATGAAAACATCATCAATTATTATGAAATGATTAGGCAGGTTATGTTAGAAGATATTGCACCAGCACTACACTTTACTAGACATTGGGATACAATAGGCCATGATACTGTGTCAATTAGAGGGAGAAGGGTCTGTCCCAATTACGCTTCAAGTGTCCATTTGTCCACTTCACCGCGAAGGTACACATTACGGCAATTCTTTTTGTGACCATGAGAACACCGTACATAAGAAAACAAGATAGATTACAATATATTATATTTTTGTCTTTATCGTCTAATATTTGTATTGTCAACGAGAACAGAGGTCTGCATCCCTCATTAAAGTTTAAACTATGTCAGATATATTATCACAAGCACGATGATAGTCAAAGTGACGAACATGCCGCCAAACAAGACGTATTTGTCTTGAGACACCCTCCTCTCTATCAGAGATATAGTTGCATTCGATAAGCCTAGAGTATTGGCTAAGTCTATTAGTCTTCTATGAGCACCTTTTATTGTTTCACGGTTGTACTTTAGCGTCTCCAATATGTTTGAACCTGGAACAAATAAAAGAGTTTTTAATATAGCTTCGTTCGTTCACACGGTATTTAAAGTTTCCGGGTCATTATTTACCTGTAAGGAGCTATCGAATTAAAAATAAAACAAAATCACCTATATTTTTTCTGTTGACCGCCTCGTTGGCCAAGTGGTCGCAAATACGACTACGACGGCAAGAGGTCTCGGGTTCGATTCCCGGGTCGGGCAATGTTAACTGGGTTTAAAAAAAATTCTCAGTAGTAGCACGGAGTCTGGTACTGGGCCCGATATGTGGTAATAGGATCACCCCCTATTACATAGGACTCATAACTTAAATAGTGAAAAGTGGGTGTTACATTGTACAGTGCCATAATGTGCACCTCTGCCTACCCCTTCGAGGATAAAAGGCGTGCTGTTATGTTAGTTATGTTATGTGTATTTTTTCTGTTATGTAGAAGAAACGACAGACATTCTTATAGAATAATATGTAAACAAAACCAGTTTAAAGGTTGCCCTTAAATTAAATCTTAAGATGTCCTTGAACTTACGCACGAAATAAAAAACATTTTAGGAGCGTTTTAATATTTTCAAACATCGAATCGAAGAAAAATTCAGCACAAAGAGATTTTGCATTCTATAATTTTCATGCAAAAAATTGAGAAGATATGTGCGTAATTAAGCGAATAATATTTAATTTAATAAACTAACATAATGAAGACATTGAATCTCCTAACCAAGGCTGAGCAAATTAAATAAAGGACAAGGTTCCATACTTAGCTCGATGTGAGTGAATCACCTTTCAACTAACTTGCAACTAATTCTATAGGTATATTATTTAACATTGATTGAGAATTCAGCTTGTTGTATAATGTTGTACAACTTGTACATCAACCGGAAAATGTGTCCGAGTAAACCTAATTATAGCAAACCATTTTCCGTGCTCCAATGAACGATTTAATACTTAGATGGACCAGCGACTAACCCTAGTTCATAGTTCAAGGTTCATATTATAATAAATGAAAAGTTTAAATAACATTAAACTCATATAAATTTTATGTTTCCGCAACTCCTCGATAAATTAAAATAATTGTAAGTATGTACGTAGATATTGTGTTTATATATTTTATACGAATTAATGATGCGTGAAAATCCGGAGCCCTTCTCGTTTCTGTATCAAGTCGTACACGGGGAGGACAAGTCGACAGATAAACACGTGCACACACAAGCGCCTCCTGTGCTACAACTATAATTACAAGGTAATTAATCACATAACTAACTTGTTAAATACGAATTCAAGGTCGTCCCATTGTTAGAATATATATTTATTGCAATATTATTTTGATGTTTTAATCACACATTATTTTGTTTGAATTGCCATCCAGCATTTGAAGTGTCACTAACTTTTTTATTATATTTTAATTGTAAATAATTTCTCATCGCAGATACGAGCGGCGCCGAGCGGGTGAAGTAATCTCGATCTAGGCTGCTTATTCGAAAAACTTTGACTTCGTGTATTAAGTTTACCTTGATACGGAGCGGTCATGTTAGGTGCTACTCCTGTGTTGTTTCCGATCTATAAGTGATACAAACAATATTCCTGTTTATGTGTGTGTTGTGAGAACTGTGTACAAAAATAATTCAAGATGTGGTAAGTGTTTTGCATAACTCTGTTTAGTTTAGCTTTCAACTGTTTATTTTGAGACAAGCGTTTTGTGAATAAGGTCGGTCAATCATTTACGCGACAAATTGAGAATATCATTTCATAGTATCAATTGAATGATATCCAAGGAACTCAAACCAAATTCCAAATAGACAGCTGTTTTGTTTGGGAAGCACGGTGTTGTGGTAACTGTCAATGAATACCTAATTAATTTTAAAACTTTCAACTAATACACATATATACTTATCTCAAATTCTCAGTACACGTGAATACTTTGATAAAACCAGACACAAAACGCGTAACACAACTCAAAATCCATATTGGAAGCACAAATAAATTTATTTCGTGATCTCGTGCGGACCGCAACTAGTTTGGTTTTTGTGTAGGTTTACGTTTGATAATAAAAAAAACATGTAGCGGTGATGTCAGCGCCACGTAGTGTTGGCATCTAGAAACAGACTCGGTTAGTCAGAGTATAGATGTAGGTAGTAGGTAGGTACCTAAGTATGAGCACGACAAATTAATTAACTGGTTTCATTGCCGAGCATCGTAACTATGTCGTTCTCGATGGCAAGTTTACTTTGTAGTCCGCACTTAAATGAGCCTAACCAATAAGGTGATCTGGGTTATGGACTCATAAATACATAAAATAGTGGATAGAGGTAAACTGTCCCACTTTTGGCCGCCATTAGATCTCTATCGAATTTTACGTATAATTAAGCCGTAGGTAACATATTGCCAATTAACCTATGGAAAATTAAGCAATAAATTATAACATGAACCTATTATTAAATTGGCTACCAGGTAGCTATATAAGAAGGTGAGCCGAAGCACAATCATGTTAATATCTATTCGGATTTTAAATGTTTCGTTTTATTGCCGAGTCCTACCTTCATAGTAGTTGTTATGTCACTATTATTTTTACCATCAAACCAGCCGTATGACATGGTATGTGTACTGGTAGCACGGTTAAAAATACAAACGCCTACCAAAAATGCGACAGCAATTAGTTTTTAATCAACAACAAATAGCAAACAATTCGAAATGTAAAATAATAATAAATTTGTTGGAGCCCTAACCACCGGTAGCTTTGACCATGCCCCGCTACTGGTCGGCTCCTATTGTTATATTTAAAAAAAATGTATTAAATTTATTGAACAAGAAAAAGTTTAGTATATAAAGTATTTATTCCATAAAAATATGAAATATATGTCTAAATAAATTGGTTTTCTTAGCTTATACTAAATAACTGGCACTAGGTCAGTTAGGAATTTTAATAAGTGTTTTTCCTTTTATAGTAGGGGAGCCCATGATGCTAAATTGGGATTTACTTGAGCGTCCTTGGGACCTACTGGATTTTGAAGATATGCTGATAGAAAGAAGAAATGGTTTAGTGACAATTTTTTCCACCAGTGGGGGAAGGGGGAATCTACAGATCTTTGAAATTGTTCTAATGGTCGAGCGTGTCAGATATTGATAATGTACATGCTCCATGTGTATTTAATAATAAAAAACTCTTAATCTGCCGGTTTGCATGGTGGGGTTGAATGTTCTGGAGAGTACAAACGAGAACCCTTCAAAATCCCCCCACTCTTGCAAATCAAGTTGGAATGGGCAGGTTTTTTAAACGCACTTCCTTTAGCACGGTATTGACCTACCTTCCCTTAATCTGACGAAACTGACTTTATTTAGTCAGACTTTTTTTTTAATTTTCAGTCCCCCCCTTCTGATCAGATCGGATATATGTTGGGTATATTCAACATGACACTAGGTTTTCCCCATATGTTAATCTGACGCGCTCGAGTAACTACCGAAATCCCTTCATGGGCTCCCCTACTATTAAGCTAAATATTACTTTGTCTGTAAAATATTCAGAAAAATATATACTTAATTTTGGTATTACAATTATGTAAAACTAGCTTCTGCCCGCGACTTCGTAAGCGCAATCTCGTTTTTTCCCGTTCCCGTTCGTGATAATCGATAAAAAGTAAAAAAAAAAAATTATGAAAAGTATTCTATGTCTGTGTCCTGGTTATAGGCTACCTCCCTGCCAATTTTCATCCAAATCGATTTAGCCGTTCTATTGTTATAAATAGTGTAACTAACACGACTTTCTTTTATATATATAGATTGTAGATAAAATAATATGCGCAAAAACAAGTACCTATAACAAAGAGGATTGATAAAAATAAAATACAAATATTTGTTTGCATTTTTGCATAAAAACCTTGACATTTAAAAAACATCAGCACACCACAACTTTAAGTATATGACTTTCAAATAATACAGGCTGAAGGAAACAAGAGAAGTAAATTGTAAATAACTTTTTAAAACACACCAGTTGTACTATAAAAAATAAACACAAATGCTCTCATAATAAGCAGTGTTATTGCTTATCAACATTGATGAAAAATAGACAGTATCTACTACTTCTGTACTTATTTTTTAAAACAAGCAAATCCTTTTAGCGTCGTAGCAATTTGTATGGAACTCTGGCTTTTGTTAGAAAGACTAGGTAGTGTGGGATACTTAGCTCGCTAAACCTACCCCAATGGTCACCTCAAAATCTATGTACAATGATGTACAGTACCTATCTAGTTAGATGTGGTTCAGACACACTACTATGTAACTCCTGCTAAAGCAGATCTAGGGGTATAGGGAACTCTAACCTAATCATAACAATATGATTAATGCCCTTTATCAGCAATCTCTCTTATATTTTAAAGATCCCCTAAGCTAAGATAGGTGACATCCAATGATATTTTAGTCTTCACTAACTTATAAGTGACAGCTAAAGACACAGTTAACGAGGCTCTACTTTAGATGTTACGTAGATAACTCTTAGTTTAAGAGATGGTTTAGGACCAAGTGATTGGTGAAAACAGCCATAAGTATAAAATATCACAATATGAGCAAACCTGTATGTAGCATTTCATCAACATTTCTATGTGAGTTCTGCAATGACAACTGCTCCTGCGCCAAGTAGTCCACATTTATGGCAGTGTGATCATGTCCAAACCTCCGACTTAACAGTTGTTCTCTATCTCTTAGCTCCTGTTCACGCTTTATCCTCTTATTCTGAGCTGCATTTAGAGATGCCTGTCGAAATATTGAGAATGTAAGATGTGTTTTACTAAGTATTAAGCACTGTTTCATTGGACTCCAAATATTGATGGCACTGCGTCTAGTTATAAATGACCTGAATAAGGGTGCAGGGAGGGCTCTGGATGTATATATATGGCTTCCAACCAGCCTATCTGGCAGTTGTTCGAGTTGGCTTATGTTTAGCAGTGAACATCTTATTCATATCCTTATATATATTTCATATTGCTGGTATTATATAATGATGATGAAACAAAATTAAAAATAATAAAAGTTATAATGGACATAATAGGTGATTTACACTTGTTGTTAAACAGAATCGATATGAGTTTTAGGAAAAATATTCAGTGTATATTACTCAAAACTTTGATCAACTTCTATACCTGAATGTGTTTGTTGTCATATTTCAGTTGGTCAACCCTCATTTTTGCTATAGGCCTCTGGTTGATTGGTGTTTTGAAAACGTATATATCCAACCTCTCGCAGTTCCTGTAATTTAAAATTGATAATCAGAAAAATGTAGTACACTGCCAACAATATGTTAACCTTAAATGAGCAAGAATATATTGTAAAACCAAATAAATTGGGCAGATAATTAGATTAGCATAATCCGTAATTATTACAAAATGAACTTACACACTAATTGCATTAATTTTTGACTGAATTGCGTTTTCTATGCTCTCATAGTTTGTCGGATCTCTTTCTAACTTCTGGAAAAGTTCTGATGTTTCCTGTATTAGATGATTAGTCTGATGATACAAAGTCTCCATTTTTCAATATTAGTATGTTCAATATATCAGCACAATGTAATTATTAAATAATTTATTACGAATAATATGTTTCACAAAACCTAGATTACAATTCAATAAGGATGTGAACGTTTTGTTATCGTCGAACTCATGAACTCGAACTGTCAAAGTATTACTACATCAAAAAATTTAGTCGATTCCAACAAATTAATTCATGGGAATGATTTAAAATCTTATCATTGAAGGAAGTAAATATAATACGCTAACAGTCAAACGGAACGTTTTTTTCGTAGATAGATTAATTTTGACAAGTGTGTCTTAAACATTCACGGGACCGCAGGGTTCCAGTCATTTAGAAGGCGTACGAGGGACCGAAGCCAACTGAGACAACAGATGCAACAGAGAACAGAGGCCGTTTAGCAACTTTAATGTAAATGTAATAAACACACAAACCGGCAATTATCCCTGTATTCACTATGAAAATGCACCCAAGGAAATTTCTCCGATTAGAGTAAAGCTATTGTAGAAAAAGAAAAGGTACCCCTATGGAAGAGTTGTTGTAGACCGATAACAGGCAACTATGGACGACTATGGCACCTGCACAACAATGTAATTACGGGAATGGTTGCTATGAATTTGACATTATTATTACGATATATTGTGTTCCATAAAAAATGCAGGAGTCAAAATTACTTTCCTAGTAATAATATTATTTCTATAATTTTAATCACAATATTTAAATCTAACAACTAGTTATTGGAACTGGCCGCACAAGACCACAACGAAACTAACAAACATGTTATTTCTGGCTTTTATCATAAATCATTAGCCGTATCGTATCATCGTATTGTTCAAATTCTTATTACTAAATTATTTCATAGCTCTAACTCGCTTAAATATTTTATATTGACTTAAATATTTAGTCGACTAATAAATTTCGTTTATTAGTAGATTATTATGAAACTACATCACTATACTATTATATGTCATTTTGACGTGGCCAGCACCAACGTAATGCGTTTGGATATTTCACAATATGATGAACCGAACATGTTACAAATTACAAATATAACTATAGTCAGAATTTTAATTAGATTCCAGATTTGACAATAGCTACTGTCATTTTGTGAAATAATGATACCACATATAAAAGTGTAGTGATGAACACAAAAATCGATAAACAATCAGTGTGTGTGTTTTATAATAAATGTTACAGAAAATGACAGGATAGGGATAGCAATGACGGCGACAATTTATAAAATAACTTATTACCATAATACATCTATCTGTTTTATTTGTCATGTTCCTTCATAATTACATTTTGTTATTTATTTCACACACAATTATAAAAGAAAAGTCTCAGATCGTTAATTAATCGTCAAAACTAAATTATCGGTTCAGAAATATTTAATTTCCTGATATACTTAGTTTACGAGAGTAAAATTATAAACGAGAAGAATCGATCCAGAAATATTGCATTTCCATATCGAATAATTTCGCAACGTCCCTATTTAGTACTTGTCATAACGTTGCAACACTGAAATTGTCAAATCTGGAATCGAATTAAAATTCCGAGTATACTTTACAAGATTCCTTACCTAGTAAAATAAAAAAAACTCAATAAGTATTGTGAATAGGATTGAATGCTTAATTGAGCAAAGAACTCCTAATTTTTATAATTATAAAAATAAAAATATATAACATATTAACGAAACGCAATTCATTCATTCAAAAGACTTATGAGTCTGTTACCAAATGAATGAATCACGAACGAATGAAACGAAACGAAACGTCAACATTATTTGTCATCCGTTGTACGTACGCGTAATTTATATCCTTTTTGTGGAGAGAGTGAAAATAATCGTAAATTTTGTGTAATACAAAGATAAATATTGGTGTACTTAAGTGATTTATAAAAGAAATTATCTATTTCAACAATGGGTGACGCGTGCCAGGCTTGCCTTGCCCGGGTGCCCCATGCCACACTCATCGCAACGATTATGTGTTGCCTGGGCGTGGGTGTGTTCTGCGGGACTATGTACCGGGGCTCTGCTCTTTCAATACTAATGTTTGACGAAGTATTTCACTTCCGATTGATATGGATTGAAGCGCTGCAAATGATATTCATAGTGGGCAGTGCCTGTATGGCAGCTCTGGGCTTCATGCTTTTGTGTTTGGGTTGTTTGACAACAGGCGCCACCAGGCAGAAAGTATACCGGGCCTGGAGAGCCCGTGTCGGAGGCCGGATATCCTGCGCCGTGTTTATGATCATAACATACATTTTGACTTTTGTATGGATTATGTTACTAGGATTTCTAGTTATTACGACATTCTTATTTACGATATTCTGGAAACTTTGTTCGAAACCGAAAAACATCGACTTATCGACGTGTATTGACTTTACTCAATTTGATTTCATGTTCCCTTCAAGTGTCAAGCAAGAGGATATGAGAATATGTGAGGCACACAAAATAAAGTTGTTCTGCAAAGACTATGTAGAGAAGGCAGAATTCATGTTCATTCTGGCGATGGTGTCATGCATACTTGTAATACTGAGCTTGGTCCATTACTTGATGTGCCTGTCAGCTAACTATGCCCACATCCGAGACCATGAGAAGTTCCAGGAGCTGCAGGAGCTGCAGTACTTGACCAACCCGGACCTGCATGCCTCTAAAGATCGTTTCTAGTATATGGCCCGCGCACCTCTACTGCGCTCCCTAGAAGCTACAACTAAAATGTGACAAAGTTAAACAATTGACTGTACTTTTAATAAATTTTGGTGTTCACTGACAAATTGAAAATATTGAAAAGACTGACATTCAGTGAATGGTTACTGCAAGAGTGTAGCTATCTAGTTGTAACTAAACATGTACCTATTGTATTTCACATATCTTATTTCTCAATGAATTATTGATTCTGTCCACACTTTAGAACATTCCTTTGTTTAGATGTTTACGGAGAATTTGTTAAAGAGAAGCAAATATTTCAATGTTTAGGTGCTTATCTAAGTATTACTTTGTCTTTGTTTAATTGACTTGTATTAGTAACCTAGTAAGTGTATTGTTGTAAGATATCACTATAATTATATGTCAACGGGACATACCTTATTATTGATGTGACCTTTTAAATAATATCTATACAATATTTATAAATTATTTTCGACAATTGTTCTTTATTGTTGCTTATGTCTTTGTATGACTACTGTACAAACAAAAGAACATTGATAAACAATATCTGACAGTGATATCACTTATTTTTGCAATTGGACATGTTTTTGTTCAAAGTTTAGTACAAGGAATTATATATTTTTATTTATAAAATTTACTGGAAGACTCAAGTGTTTATATGCAGGTGTAAGAAACCATAAGTTGTTCATTTAATTAAAGCAAATAGTTAGTTGTAAGTAATTAAATTAGTAGACTGAAATTTTTATCACTTATCAAACCTTAATTTTGAAGTTTTACTTATTGTCAAAAATGCATTTAATCCTAATACAGTAAAACTTCTTGGTAGCTATTCTATAATGTGCATCTATTTGAGCAGCAATTTTTACAAAATAATAGCTTTTCTGAGTACTCTTATTTTTAAACTGTGTAGACTTCAGAGCAGTTTTATCTTAATACTATAAAAATAAATTCTATATTAAATTACAAGCCAGTTTATCAAAAATACAAATGTATATTTTTATTGAATTTTATGATGCCTACGAAAATATGCCATAGTCAAATCAACTTTTTATTTTAAACATTATTTGGATTGGAAAGTTGCATTTATTTTGTTGATACTAGGAAATACTTTTATATTAATTATATTGACGATTTTGTACACCTATACTAGTACCTACGTAATGTTAAGTTGCACTTAAATATGTAAGTGAAAATGTATGAAATCAGTTAGGTTTTATAATAAATGTTCGTTTTTTTATAAACTTTTGTATGATTAGACTATTGCTTATGAGTAAAATACCACTACCATTTTACGTTTTAATGCAGCTAGTTACTAGCACAAATTAACAAAATTGTCACGTAAATAAGAACATAAAAAGCTCCTACAATAGACTTAAAAGAGTGACAAAACATTGAATAAGTTGTTATTGTGCGGGTTAACTGTCATGAAAAATAATACAAAAACTCTAATGTCATAATAATTGTTTTTAACAGTAGTGTAACTAAGAGAATGAACTACGCCGGGACCTTTGGCTCAGGGGGCGTGGGTCAGTCTCAATTAGAACTCATTAGACCACAACGTGACGTGTGTAACATGTATATAGGTGACCATGTACAGTATATTTCCATCTTTACTAGGTACTTTACTGTTTTGTTGTCCAAATGAGTGATACTTCTGTGCACTATGCCAGTGCCACCTACTACAAAATATGATTTTAGAAAAAGACACTTCTAAAATAAATTCTCCCGTGTTCTGGTAGGGGAAATAATTTATTAGAAATCAATAATTTGTAGATTATAACCATTCGTTTTTGCTTGTGCATTCGGAAATCGAACCCGTACCACGTTGCCTGGTTGGTTCTCTACGCCAACTGTGCAGACCGCCATCGCCAGTTAGTTGATTGCTAAGGACCGAAAATGTAGATCGTAGCGTGTTAAAATTAACGATTAAGGAATGTTATACCAAGAATGTATATTAAAAAATTAAGCAATCAATACAGTACATTTCGTGGCATACCACGTACCTAGTTTGCTCTCTAAAAATTGTACAATCCAATGCGGTTCTAAGGAAACCTTATATTTTTGATTCAATCCGATTTCGATATTAGTCAATCAGATATCTAGATAGTTTGTCCACTTCAAAAGGCCAAGGGAATCGACAAATGTAACATTTCGGAAACGTCAGTCACATACGACCATGACCATGATCAATACGGCCAATTTCATCCTACATGCATTTTAAAATGGCTCTCAAACGCGCACAAATCCTATTTCTTGGCTTACGGTTAGGTAGATAAGTTTTAGTATTCATACGTTAATCATGGCCAACATAAGGTCGATAAGGTAGTGCTTATTTATAGCGAAATGAATTTTTCGTTGATTTGATCCACTGAACAAAGTTGCGAAAGTTTTCTTCCGTTCGCTACATACAATAGAAGTTTGGGTTGTTGACCTCTGCGCTAGTTAGATTCGTGCACTTGCAGTTAGTAGGCCGATAATAGAATTGAATAGCCTACCGTTGGATTTGAATATTACCTTTTAAACTTTCTATTTCCTTTGATTACCGAATTAAGTAATTAGGTACGGAATTAACAAAGTAAACTATTCACGAAGTTATTGCCTGGAGACCACAAAAATTCGTTGCTCTTAATTTTCTTTAGACAGATAATTTATGGTAGGACCTACATTATTAGGAGGACTTAAATGGAAAAAGCATTTGCAAAACAAAGCAATGACTAATAAAAAATGCTACCTAGATATTTATTAGATGATGTGGATTGCAATCAATAATTCTGATCATTATAAATAGGTAGGTACTTATTAAAGCCTATACATAGGTACCTGTTTAACTCTAATGAGTAATTAACCATTCGCTTCATTAGAAGATAATTGAAGAAGTTCTGTACCTACCTAAGTATGTACTACTTTAGACTTCCTGCTTTCCAATAATTGTCGGATGCTAATCTTATCATTCTTACAGAGTAGGTAGCCAGTCACAACCACAGTGTAAAAACATGAATCATTGCCACAGATAATCAAGATAAAAAATTCCCGTGTCACGAGCGCATTGTTTATTAGTTTCCCTTTATTTGCGTAAATCTGCGATTATGTTTAACCTTCAGCTAATTTAATGCATACCTTCCTAGGTACTTACAATAAATAGGTCTTTAATCTGCAAGTACCTAAATAGAATGATACCTACAATACAAAACTTTTTTAACTTTCGTGGTTCAGTCTCTACAAGCCTCAATGTGCTTATTATAATAAATAGATAGGGAGGTGTGGTTTTATGTGTAACAATAACAAGTTATCTACTGTAACATCATAATGTAGTTTGGTAGGCTTATCAGTAAAATGAAAAATAGTGTCATGGCCATAGTACGCTCCGTGCTCCTACTCAATGCTATCAAATGGGAACGAATGAGAAAATGACTAACATACCTAATCTTTATGCAAGCAGGTAGATATTATAAAAAGGATATATTTTGTTTGGTTATTTGTGCCCTAAACGTCTTCAGAACCGATTTCGACCTTAATATCATCTTGCTCCACTCTTATCTACATCGGTCAATTGATTGGTAGCCATTATTGAAATTTTTCAGTAGGTAGGTACATCAGAGTCAATATTCCTACCACCTACCTGCCTATTCAGGTAAAAACACAAATACAAACAAAGCATGATCAGAAAACGAAACAGTTAATTCTGAACCCATATTATCGTTAAATAAAAATAGCTGCGATGCACGTTGGTTGCATTTTTACGACGATATTACTTGAATTTGAATGCATTTACCTTATTGTTGGATTCTCGCATTGAGCAGGTACCTTTAATCTTTATTCTCAAGGTACGCACCTGTTTGAAATACACGATGTATTGTTGATGCACCAGGATAAACCGATAAAAACACAAACCTTTATCTTCCCCATTATCAATTCATACGCTACCAACGAAAAACAGCTAATAAATTTTTACTTTAGGTAGGTACTTACCTGAGATTTTGTACCTGTCAGTTAATTTTGAATAATTAAGTACCTACCTCATATACTTAATCTACTTAATTTATTTAATGAGTAACATGACAATATGAAAATCTTTGTTCAATGTGTAAATTAGTTTCGGTGTGGATATTGCTAGATGCCGCGAGTGCAGTTAATTTCGGTAGGTTCCTATGCATAATGCGTATCCGCATACGTGAGGGAAAGATGGAACATCAAAGTGGTTTCCAGACAGTAAGAGTATGATAACCTACCCCTTTCGTCTTCAACAGTTTTCCCAAGTTTTCTTTCTTTTAAGAAACATGTCAGTAGGTAAGAATTTCTCCTAGATCGTCAGTGTTGTTAAAGGTTCGCCTAATATGTTATTCGGTAAAATAAACTATGAAAGTACCATTTTTACATGTCTAAAAAGGTTAACATCACGTAGACTAGCATGTCTATTTTCCCTAAGGGACCTTTGATGATCTCACTAAACGACTTACTCAAATTAAACTATTCACTAGATACGTACCTACCTATTTGTACCTAGTACCTAGGTACATGTAGAATGATTAATAAAATAATTGTGTTTTTCATGGTAGGTAACCGTACCTATACCTACCTAACCAATTAGACTACAACGGATTTTAGGTTTCAATCCTCAAACACCTCATGATACGGTGACGGTAAGGTTTTTTTATGACAGCTATATTTGTTTGGTTTATATCATTTTGCTTACCTGCCATATTTTCGTGGAACTTTACTCAACCAAAGCAAAGAGATCACAAGGCCATATTAATTTTTGCTCATTTAAGAAACGGATGGTCTTTTGTCACGTTATTCAAGGAAGCAGCTGTGTCGTTTTCATGATTCATGCTGATTTGTCTATTACAGAGATTTTGTGACATCGATTCTTCAGTTCTACTTCAAAGTTTGACGAGGTACTACTTTGACCGTTTCTAGTGATTCTAGGTAGGATCTATAATTTAATCGGTTTGCGTCTGTTAGTAAACTTACATACATGTACCTACTAATATCTATTACGTATTTAGACATTATCTAACTGTTGTCTGTAACTAAGCAGTCATCAAAATTGTTTTTTCATCAATGTGTGGGAGAGCCATGCTTCGGCACGAATGAGCCGGCTCGACCAGCTCCTAATCCCTAAAAGGCCGGTAACGCACTTGTAACGCCTCTGGTGTTCCAGGTGTCCATGGGCAACGCCGATTGCTTACCATCAGGTGATCCGTCTGCTCGTTTACCGGCTTAAGCCAGAAAAAAATCATTTACAGTCTATTTACAGCCTGTAACCATCTCTTGGGATTACTAAGTACTACCTTCCAACGTCTCTAGCTATTATTCAGTGGTTTAGGCGTGAAAGCGTAACAATTTCGCACACTTTCGGATTTTCTTGTCATAAACATCTTCATCAAGTAAATCATAAAGTTGTTGCTACAGACAATGTCAACACATATAATAATTATGTCTTTGGTAATTACCTATTGTTGAAATCAAGTTTGAGAAAAATATTCGGTTTCAAAAGAAATCTTTCGTAGATCTCTAAGTATCCTATATCCTCAGTCGGAATACGTCAACACTTCCACAGGTCGACAAAGGATAAATCCTTTACGAGGGATTTGCCAAAATCCTTATGTTTGGCAGGTGATTTGAGTGTGTTGAACAGAAAATGTAAAGAGTCTACCTTCGATCACTGGTCGTGCCTTTGGGGCATGAATACCCGGACCCTAGATGAATATTATAAAAGTATGTACCTACATATAAAACACCAATCATTACCATCACCAAACAAAGCAATCAATTTCTTGTCGCTCAAATATTCCACTACGATCTATGAACTTTTTAGTTGGTAGGTACTTATTACCGGCCTACGTACTTTACTTTCATTTGTTGCCCTTGAACGTGAATCTCAACAGCTTGTTTCTACAGCGTGTTCGAAAGGTCTACCTTAACACCGAGAGGTCAGGTTCATAGGCGTGTTTATGTAATATGTAAAAGACTATTTCAATTACATAAGTACACGTGCAATAATCATAATAGGTATACACATTTGCCAGTTATTATATGTACGTATGTGGGTTATGAAACAACATCAACAAATAGTATAATTACGAACAGATACCTAGTCAGTAGATACCCATCTACAATATGCTTAGTTTCAAAAATGGATCAACCACTAACATTTTGATCATGCTTTGCTTCGTTCGAGCAATTAACTTATGGTTTTTGTTTTGGTAACAACTGTGTTATTTATTTCAACAATAACGAA